CTGGTGAGGGCGGCCTGACCCGGCTTCCCCGGCCGAGCCGGCGCGAGAGCGCGCAGCGCTGCTGGTAACGGTCGCAGCAAGACTCCGCGTACAGTCTTTCGTTACCGACACGGCTTCCTAACAGAAACAAGCTGCCGTTCCCGCCGCAAGCAGCGACGGATTGTGTTTATACACCCTCTTGAAAGTTATATTCTTAATAGTACTGCTTAATTATCGCGCTGTGCTCCAAACACTACACTGTGTTTTTGTCAGACAATTTTATGTTGTGCCCAGGCTACTGCTTCTTCTTTTCGGTGCTCTCCTCTCTTTTTAGATTTGCAGTCAGAAGGCTAGATTCAAAAGTTGGCCTGGTGATAACGTCTCCTCCATGATCGATTTTCAACAAACAACAAAAAAAAAGTCACGGCCCTTTATAGTCTAAGACAGCAATAACGTAGTTATTCCACCAATTACTCCTCCAGTGAGCTCTCTGTGCAGGCCTAGTGCAATATGCACTTAGGGAGAGACTGGTCCTCCACAGTAACCACAGTCTTCCCTCAGGAGGACATTTCTGTATGCCAGCAAGGAGGAGGCTGTCCTAAATCAGTCTTAACAAACACTTCCCAAGACCTATCAGGACACCTTTTACTAACTACATTCAAAGTTTAAGTAGCAGATGACAGGAAATAGTGCTATGGCCATGTAACTATTTTTGCATAAGCTTAAAAAAAAAAAGCTTACAGGCACGAACCACTGTGCATGAGGCATACAGACGGTCTGGGCGCGCTTAGCAAACGCTCTTCTGAAACATGCTCGTAGGGAATGCGTGTTCAGAAAGTAGCAGGTAGGTACTGCGACACAAAGTAGCAGTAGTCTATACTATTGCACATGATTGTAGAGCACAGTAACCCCAAGTGAGGTGCCACTCATCTGCAGTTTCTGGCCATGTGGCGTCCCACTCAGAAGTATTTCTCCTTTAAGACAATCAAAGGTTTGTAAAACCTGGCCACGTCCTCAATATCTACCCGGACAAGGGTTTTTGGCCACCTTAGACACACACAGGAGAACTGACTTGACTGCCAGCTTAATACTTACTATAATAATGTATTATAATTTATCATTCTAGGCTTATATTATTATGTCAGCAAACTCCTCGAAGTAGACAAGTCATAGACAGGACTCCAAGCTGCATAACCAGACAAGTAAACTTTCCAATGGAACTCCATATGAAGTCCAGAGATTACGCATTAAGGCCCACGACATGAATATTTTGAGATTTCTCCACTGAAATATGCTGCAGATGATAAAAACAGAAACTGTCATTTCTTAAAAAATATATTAAAGAGGACAGTACTGAAGAAAGACCACCTAATGAAGTATATCAAAGGCACAAGGCTCTGAATCACGTTGATTAATAAGAGCTCAAGAACCAACATGAGGAATATGTAACAGTCCCTCAAAGCTAAGACACTTTTTTCCACAGCAGGCAAAATTTTGTCAGCCATGTTTGCGAGATGCTTGTCATGAGGAAGAGTCTTAACT